TCACACAGCACGTGGCAGCACAGCTTGGCCCAGGGCACCTGGCCCCTGGCACTGCCTGTGCCACTTTTCATGGCTCCAGCCTGGCTTGGTGCAGTGCTGTGCACCTTTGGGCAGCTCTGGGCCACTCAGATTGTCACCTGGCATCCTGCACCACCCTCAGGGACTGCCTTGCTGGCTGGGGGCTGGGTCCTGTGTGCACAGAAGTGGCTCAGTCTGACAGGTGGGGGAGCTGTGCCTGGAGGGCCCCAACTGCCCCAATGACCACTGCAGCTATGGGTGAGCTATGGGCTGTGTGGGGGGGGCTGAGGTCCTGTGGGGCACAGGTGGGAGACCCACCCCTCCCAAGATGCCCCCCATGGTCCCCCACACCCTCACAGCCCCCCCTCCTCCAGGCCCTCTACCCCTGCTTACTGGGAACAGAGCCCAAGTCCAGGTCACTACAGTCTGCACTGCTCCTTGCCCCACACGTGCTGCAGTATGCTGCAGCATCAGGGCACAGGGCAGGCATATAATGCTCCAGCCAGCTACCAAAGCTTCTCTTTGGAGGACCCGAGCCTCTGGTTGCCTCAGGGCCCTGCTTTTTTCTGCGGGTTATTTTTTGATAACTGGATAGCCAGGTATCAGATTTTGAGTCGAGTCCAGAATGCCTCTTGGCACGTCTAAAACTGCTTTGAGACATGGCAAGAGGCACGTGTGGGCTTGTCTGGACACACCCAGTGAAACTAAAACCTGGAGATTTTTGGTTAGGCTCAGAGTCAGACCAATCACTCATTTGGGGTCAGGAAGGAATTTTTTCCCCACAGTCAGACTTGTACAGTCTGTGACGATTTTTGCCATTCACTGACATGGGGGGCATGGCCCTCTTCCTTGGGACACTTAAGAGTATTTTAACAACCCATGCAGTGGCAAGACACTGATTGCCATTTTTTCCCTGCTTTGCTATGGCAAAGCACCTGAGGACACAATGCCTTGTAGTTGTGTGACAGTGTTGATTGTGTAATATTAGTTATAGGTTAAACAAGGATTTGTATGGGATGGTTTAGATAAGGATGCTCCTCCCTCAGGCAGGGGGTTGGACTAGATGACCTCCAGAGGTCACTTTCAGACCTACTTTTCTATGATTCAGAGGTCTTTACCCCCAGACAACCTGTGCAGCTCATCACTAACATCCAGGATATAATTATATAATAGGTAATAAAATATGTACTGCAAGTAATGAATATTTGACTATAAACGCTGCAATATTTTTGGAAAAATACAAGCTACTTATTTGAAGCAATGGCGTACAGTAATTCTGCTGCAGTACATACATAAGAAATGATGGGTGATCCGATTAGATGAAAGCTATCGTGAAATGGACTGGTGTTTGGAATATGCTTTTATCAGAATGATCTTGCTGTTTGAAATATGGTGACTAATAACCAGTGAACAGGTTATAAAAGCATCTATGTCTGCATGTAAAAAGATAAGGACATTATCTACATTTACCTACTCTGATCCCAGTTGGCTGCAAAGAGCAGAAGAATCTTTCTGCCACAATGATCACGATTTTCCAGTACTCCGGGGAACCCATCAATCAGAGCTCTTTTGATCCCTGGATCATCAGCCTTGAAGTTTTTGAACATATCCAGGTTTAACTGGCGGTACTGGAAGTACTGGGCCAGCAGTCTGAAGGCCTCTGTTTGGTGAAACTTCCTGGCTCGGAGAAATCTCAAGATGAAGGCATCATCTGTACGTAAAAACCCAATGTCAGGCCTGGTGATGATCATATCCCTGACTTGTTGGATATCCTGATGCAAAATGTCTGGGTTTTCATTCAGTTCCAGTCGGGCTTTCTCTATAGTCTCTGGACTAAGTCCAGCTTGTAAATGGGTCATCTCTGCAAAAATTTATTTTCAAAATCCTTATCTTAAGATAATTTAGGAAGAGAAATGCTGATCCCATTCAACTGATGGTCTGCTGTAAGTGTGATCCATTCAAAACCTTTTTGCATTTAGGCAGATATTTGACAAGTAAAATGGGAAGGTTTTTTCATATCCTTGCAGGAAGCATAACATTCAGTTCGTAGGTACTGTAATCCAAAGGAAAGTGAAGCTTATTCCACTGCTTACTAAAAAACAAAACAAAACAAAATTAAGAACACGGAGAAAGCAAATGTGTTTCTGAGCTTGTACATAATAACTACACCCTCTTGTATATATCAACTATTAAGAGGTTAGTAAGCAAATAGCATAATGTTTTTGACGTCTCGAACATAAAATAAAAGGGTGTCAGAAAGCATTCAGAAATTATAATGATTTTGAGCATTTAGCAGCAGTAATGTTTTACTGGATTAATACTAAATTATTCTTTATTTATTGAGTCTGCAAAAACTAATGTGGAAAGCCACCATCCCAGTGCATCCTGTTATGCCATTCCTGTGACACAAGCACCTTTTATGGCTGCCCTGGCCAGGCAACAGTAAGAAAAAAGTGTGATATTTTTACTCATGATGAGACAAAATGTGTTCTGTTCTGATAAGTACTGCTAATAAAAAGGACATTTTTAGTCCCCTAAATATACAGATTTAGATTTTTCATGATGAGCCTATCAATTTTTAAAAGTTGCTATTATTGTTAGTTGTTATTATATTATTATATAAATGTTCTCTTTATATGTGACAAAGTATATAGAGAGAAGTGTGATAAAATAAAAAAATATGACTTTTACTTAGCATCATTTTGGAGTTGGTGATGTCTCCTAGAAAATATTTTCCACTAGGGAGTTTTTTTCTTCTTGTTTTAAAGTTTACCCTCATTTTTTCCTGAGGTAACATTATGCCTAAGCCTATAATACAAAGGCTTTATTTCACTGTGTTTTTAATCTCAGGCTAATTTATGTGTATTGCCTATCCTGCCAGAAAAAGGCCCAGCATTTTTGGCCAAATTCTTGTCTATCTCTAAAAGGATTTTTTGCAGTTTTTTTGGCACATAAATCACTGAAGTCGATTCTAATTCACCCTACATAATAGCTACTGAGGCATCTACCTTCACTCGTGAACAGCTGGAGTCGTAAATCCAGCTGGGAAATATGTACATTTTCTATGACCCTACAAAACTTTCCTCCCAGAAAAACCACAACCAGCACATTTTTGAAGCAAAGAAGAGGAAGGTATCCAGTCAGGCTCTTAGCGCAACAGACTACTGGTTAGATCACTTGCCCAGCAAGTGCTTTCCCCACCAATACTGTTCAATGCCAAATGCAGAAACAGAACTCATCTCTCTCCTGCCCAAGTTAGTGCCTTTCTCACATGGCCACAAAGTTACAGTTACTCAATTGTTCTCTTCCTGTCCCCACAGTTTTTACCTTCCTATGTGGTGGGAGGGAGTGGGGCAGTGTTACCCCCTGCCTGGGATCTCTTGAGTGTATATTAACAATCTTTTATAGAAGCAAGGTGTTGGCTGTCATGGGTCCCCTACTTTATCTGTATCAAGTTAGGGTGTAATGTCTTGTGTTGTGTCAGGGTTGATGGTCGTTTTACGAGAAACTTGGATTATGGTTTTGTACAGGGTGGTTTGGATAGGGATGATCTTGCCTCAGGCAGGGGGTTGGAGTAGATGACATCTGGAGGTCCTTTCCAACCTGACTTCTCTACTATTCTATGACTCCCTTCTTTCTTGGTTGTTCAGAGGCCCAGCTTCAGCAGAAGGGATGGAGGGATGGAACTATGTAGCCCGTGGCCTAACTGGTTAGGGGACATTGGAGGGATTGGTAGACATAGCTTAAGCTTCATCTGATTGAGGGGGATATAGAAGTAGGCTCCTGCATCTTGTGCAAATTGCCTAAGCACTAGGCTACCAGGCTAAAAGGTGGGACAGCTCTTTGTTTAGAATACTCCCTCAGAGTGAGATATATATTGTGTAGCCCCCCAGTGTAAATCTAGAAGAGTCAATGTATTACGATTAATTTCTGGGGCCACATTAAGCTGCCCATTGAGAGAGTATGTATCTATGTAACTATGCATTTCCCTGGTGGATTTGAACTACACTCATGAGGTAAGATGTATACTATTTATTCCATATGTGGCAAAGATTTAAAGTTAGATTGGGATTTGGCCCTTTATCATAAGGAATACTAGCTGAGCTCAACCTCAAGCAGAAGCTATACTGTGGAACAGGTTTAATTACCTTGCTGTAAACATTACAGGTATTTTGTCTCCATTCAGCTTTTACAGCCAGGTACCTCATAGGCATTCATTATCCTGATGTATATAAACCATCTTCTGAGCAGTGAAGACATATCCAGAGGCATCATTCATTGGCAGCTGTTGAACAGCATCCCTAACAGAATTTAAAGCTCAGCAAAGATGCCAGTCCTGTATCTATTGATATTTCTCCATCATTATTATTCTTGGTGAGCACATTGTATCTCCACCCTCCTTGACTTCCTGGTTCCTTGTCACCTTAGCTTTTTAAGGGTGTTTTTGGTAGTAATTCCTATCTACCAAAGGAAAACTGTAACCATTCTGTTTAACTCAATTGTCTCAATTGTCTTGAAGCTCAAAACATGAGAAAGTTTCACCATGAATAAATTGTGAAATGTGTTTGATAATTTGAACACTTTAAATTTGATACTCTAGACCAGTGGTTCTCAGCTTCTTTAGATTTGAGGCACCCCTCAGAAAATGCCAGCTCTTAGTTTTCTCTTGTTCTTTGACCACAGAAAAATAATAAAGCAAGACTTGTGTTGAAAAGAAATCTGAAAGACCACAACAGGTCAGAATGTTTTGACACTATGGGTTCTTATTTGAAGTCTCATGGTTTATCTTGTAACTCATGTTAGCATAGCTAATGGTGCTAATGTTGCATGGAACGCTGTGGCACACTTGAAACGATATCAGCAAACCCTGGTTGCGAATCACTGGTCTATATGTTTGAATATATGTTTTATGCTAAATTCTTATTTTCAAATTTTTACCTTTTTTTAACTACAACTTTTGCATGTTTTCATCCCTTTTTTTTTCTTTGCCTTGACATTTTTTGATAAAAGTTTGCAGGAAAACCATCTGGCTATTATAGGTATGACAAAAGGTGCTATAGGATCTTTTAATCAGTTTCAGTGATGGAAATCAGGAGATACCTCTACTGAAGTCAACAAAGTTACACCTATGTAAAGCAGGACCAGAACGAGGGCCAATTTTTTCAGGCTTTAAAAGTGTTCAGGGTCTTTTTTATGTTGTATATCTCAAAAGGAACTTTGTTTATATTTATGTATTTATTTATATCCGCTAGTGATGGATGTTCTTTATTTTATTTGAAGAAAGTTTCTTGAAGTATAATGAAGGCTTAGATAATTAAAATATTGTTTTGGCTTCATTAATACCATTGATTTCTGGCTGCCATATCAGACCCTTGGGGCAGTAGTAACAAGTTTGACTTCACATTGAAGGCTGCTGCAAGTTTTGTTAGCAGTACTGTAGTGAAGGCAGGGAGAATAGGGTGATTGCCCTGGGCACTGAAGCAAAGGGGTGCCAATAGGCACTGCCCAGCCAGGGCAGGGTGCAGGACGAAGCTGTGAGTGGTTTGTTTGGAGGGGCATGGGGATGGGGGGAGGGTGGCTCCTGCTGCTGTGTGCACACCCAGGCAAGCATGGGGGGGTGAGGGGTCACGTGCCCCTGGATATTTGCGTGGGGTATGGATGGGCTGCCACTGTGGGCTTTGCTCCAGGCACCAAATTTTGTTGCTATGTCATTGTTTATTAGTGATCAGGAGCTTGTGGAGCACAGAGGACATGTGGGATCACCATTTTTTCAGCTGCATCTTACTGGCCCCTCATTCCTCTACTGTAATTGAGGGTCTCAGTACCTAAATTTGAATGTAGTGGAATCAACTGTCCTTTGCACTGTGATAGGTTAAAAATAGATTTCAGATTTCTCTCAGGACAAAGCTTTTTGTTCTGAATTAGCCCCATGTTATAAATACCTGTGAAGTACTGAGATAATACTCTCCTCTCCCCCCAAAAATCTGACCTGATTGAAGTTACTTGCCACTCAAGCTGCATGTGTGCATGACTGTCCCAAGATTGGTTTAATGTGAATCAAAGCCTGGGGCAATCACAGACTCATAGAGAAGTAGGGCTGGAAGGGACCTCCATAAGTCTTCTAGTCCAAACCCCTGCCTGAGGCTGGATTATTCCTATCTATTAGGGCTCTGTGAAGTCAATTCAATTTGGAGGAGATTTGACCCAATTTGGTGGCCAAATCTGAATTGAATTGGGAGACCAATTAAAAGGTCCAAATCAAATTGGAAGCTTCTGAATCGATTCAGAAAAGATTCAGTGCCACTTTGGAGATTCAGCCATAGACTAAACAGGCAGCAGTCCTCACCACGCTGGACACAGCTGCCTCCAGCTGGTAAGTCTGATTGTGGTGGGTGGAGGGGGGAAGTAAGGGATGTGGAGGGAGCAGATCAATGCCCCCACAGCAAGGGAGGGATTGGGGCTGGGGCTGGGACAAGCTGCCCAGCCGGGGTGGAGGGGTGTGGGATGCGGATGCTGCTGCAACTTGCCCAGCCAGGGCGGGGGAGGCGCAGGATGCAACGGCAGCATGCTGGGAGCAGGGGCTATGCCCTGCTGCCACTTGCCCCCTTCCACCCAGAATGAGCCACACCTGCATCATGCCCCCCACCCCTGGCTCCACAAGTGGCAGCAGGGTATAGCCCCCGCTCTCAGTACTGCTGTGCCTGCATCCCACACCCCCCCACTCCCCTCACCGAGTCCCATACCCCCCTCACACCCCCAGCTGGGCAACTGGTCCCAGCCTCAGCTCCAATCCCTCCCTTGTTGTGGGGGTGTTGATCTGCCCCCCCATGCCCCTTCCCTTCACCCTCCACTCACCACAACAGACTTACCAGCTGGAGGCAGCTGTGTCCAGTGTGGTAAGGACTGCTGCCTGTTTAGTCTATGGCCAAATCTCTGAAGTGGTGCCAAATCTTCAGATCCAATTTGGCTGATTTGAATTGGGACAGTGATTCGAATCACTGAATTGAATCGCTGTGCTTCCAAATCAGCCAAATCTGAATCCAAACAGAATACTTGCCACTTCTCACAGGCCTACTATCCATACCATACTAT